AACCGCCAATTGAATCATCCAGCAGTTTTCAATCTCGCCACCCTCGAGCAAGCCAGCAACACGTCGCTAATTCAGTCGACACAATGCCTAGTAAGGTCCACGTGGGCCTGGCAGCTGTGACGTCACATCATTGATAGAGGCGCCCACATCAGTGGCTGACGAGCCGCGGATATTGTGCCAAGAATAGACACTGGCCCACCTATTCGCGTCTTTCCTCATCGTTTAATGTGTTCGACGATCAAAAGGACCTGGAGAACTCTCAGAGATACGAGTGGAGATAATAAAGTTTCGAGAGTAATCAATTTGAGAATTTTATCTCGAAACATAAACAGACGTGAGGGCATCCTCTTCGAGACTTGCAACGAAGGATCCATTGATCCTAACGTTTCTGGTAATTCAATCTTTGTGTCTGACAGGAAATTCGCTATTTTGGTGAAAAGTTAGAAAAATCAGGCGATTACGGGGGATTTTTCAACATTGTGATCGAATTTTGAATTTGAAAAATTTTAAGTACACCTGTCCCCCAAAATCGTGGCTTTTTGTATGAAAAACCGTGTAAATCGGGGAAAAAAGAAAATGCGCATAAATTAGTCAGTGATTGAATTAAATTCGTTACTTTAAATGTAAAATGAAAATAAAATAAAAATGAGAAACGAAAAATATTCAGGGTCAGGGTTTAGTTTCGAGCGAGCGATCGATGAAGGCGAAAATAGCCGGTCGCCAATGAAAGATCCGCGGCGGCAGCAAACTTTGCGTTACAATATGAATGCTTTTTGTGTGCAAAAAAGGGTTTTTTTGGTTTAATGCCAGTGTTATCAAACGAACGGTACTAAAAAACGACTGTACAAATATGTGCGCAGCATAAACTTTTATTTTTACCAGTTTATATTTCTGAAAAGCTGTTATTTCGAAAACCGTGTAAAAGTGAAATCGCGTAAATAAAGTACCGTGTAAATCGGGGGATAGGTGTATTTTAAGTAAGTGCTGGGGCATTGCAACGATGCGAAATCTGTAAAAAAGGAATTTTAGGTTGAACTCGTTCGACTCGATCGACAAAGTTCATCTTAAATTGCTGTTACTTCGACGGGAAGAAAATGGAAACGTTATTGTCACAACTGGTATCAAGAGAGGACACGAGTAGTGTGGGAAAGAGCGAGGTCTGGTTGGTGAAAAGAGCGGGAAAACGACGGTGGTAGACAAAGATGCCCCGAGGAACACGAAGATGAAGAAGACGATGGCACGATGGTCGAATAGGTTGAGAAGAGATAGAGGATAGTTTGCTGGAGAAAGGAAAGACGCGAAACGTGGCGTCTGCTCGAAGGTACACACATAGACGTTGGTCAGGATTGTGCAAAAGCTCGCCGGTACTCTCATCTCGCTGATCGTTTCCTGTGCCATTATGCTACCGCTGAAAAGGCGGCTGTATTCCCTTCTTACGTATGCCTCTTTACGCCGCTATTGAAATCGCAAACGGAGAAAGTCGAAGGACGATTACTCGCCGTGCCAGATACGCGTATATATACGCTTGTTTGTTTCTTTCTTTGCTTGAACCGGTACCGAGCGCTTATTAGCCGGAGGAGAGCGTACAGTCTGAACTACGGAGTGCATGGAATACTTAAGAAGAAGATTGTCCGAGAGAGGTTTAATGTTGATTTTACTGTTTTCCAAGTGGACGAGGCGCGATCGTTATGATGGCACAATTCAAGACGTGAGAATGACGATCTAGTAAAGATCACGTTTAGGAAAATTGCTTTTTTCTTGTTTGCTTAGGAAAGCTATACCTTTTTACTTTATTCAATGAGAATGAGAGAGACCTGATTATTTATTCTCTCGCTACGTTGCTCTGAGTTTGATAATGGATATCGTTAGGTATGAGAGTACCGTGAGGGTGCAATTTGATAAATTATGGAAATTGATAATTGAGTGCAAAGGGTGATTAGATAATTTTGAAATTTTGTGTCAGTTTTCGCTTCAGATTTTAGTATTGCAAAGTTAGAGTATTCAAAGTTCTAAGTTTACTGCAAAGTTAGGGTGTTCAAAGTTCTAAGTTTACTGCAAAGTTAGGGTGTTCAAAGTTCTAAGTTTACTGCAAAGTTAGGGTGTTCAAAGTTCTAAGTTTACTGCAAAGTTAGGATGTTCAAAGTTCCAACTTTACTGCAAAGTTAGGGTATTAGAGTATTTGATATGCAAAATACCGATAGAAATTTCACGAATTTTGCGACATCTCGAGAACCAACATTGAAAATAAAGCGTTGCGCGCAGGAAATTCGTTCTTTCGTGCCGCGAATTACGTCAAGTAAGAAGGTTTCCGTGAAGAATGAAACGGGACCACCGGCGTTCCTTTTCGAGTTCAGATCGCGCGAAATCTCATTTAGCGGCGCCGCCCCTGGCTCTATTAAACGGCGGCCTCTTGTTCTCATTCTCGAAATCGTTGAAAGGCAACCGAGTGAATCTCTCTCCGGGGCCGGGAGAGTTTCGTAACAATACAACGGGGGAGAGGGGAGAGAACTTTAGCCGCTCCGTTGGAAAAGAGACTTCCACTAGAGGCATTGTATCGCAGCGTTGATCGCAAATTTCTAGACCGATTCCTTTGTCGATGCGGGGCGCGCGAGAGCTATCGAATCCAAAAAGGATTTCCGGTCTGTTGCTCCTCTATCGGCGGAGTCGTTACGTAGAATTCCAGTTTGGTTCCAGTCGCTTGGCAACACCTCCTGTTCCTCTGCCTCTCCTTTTTCTTCCTTTTCGGCTGACCTCCAACTAGGAAATTTTTTCCTGTCGCGTCTATCCTTCCTCTTTGGCAACCTGCCGGTATTTACGGAACTTCCTTCTCGAACTGACGTGATCGTCGATGGAAAGTGTATCAAGGTTTTGCGTGCAATTGCACAGAAGAATTCCTTTGGATTTTTCATCGATTACGAGAAAGAAGATTGTAAGGTGTGCGACAGTGTTTGGAATAGCTCAGGTTTAACTCCAGAGTGTTCTGTACCAAAAGAGTTAACAGCGCTGCAAAGTTATGCAACGCTACAGTACAGCATCGCAGAGATGAGCAAACCCACAGAAATTTCCAAGTTACACGAAGCTTACAAGATAATACGAAAAAATTCTTCAATTTCCCAATAAATATCCACACAGCAGCTGAATCACGAACAAATAAATCCTCCTATTAATAGATAAATCGTCCTAGCAAATCTTAGTTGAAAACAGACGCATGCCACGTTTCCAACGAAAACACAATCTCCATTGAACTTCTATATACACGAACTCCGTTGATGGCAGTAGCGAGTAAAAGTCGCTTTCCAATTATTGCCAGGTCCTCGTGGAGGCACTCGAGACTCGAGAGGCGCATGGCCGTATATCTTGGAGTAATTAAAAAGCCGTAAGTCGCGGAGTGTTGGTGAACAAGGAGCGACAGGCCAGCCAGCTTCGAGTAAACGATTGCTAACATCCCACCCACGTGACGTGTCACCAGGCATCGGTTAGGCCTCTGTCGAGCGTAATTACGTCGAGGCGAACGGCCGATTTCGAGCTGCTCCCAGAAGGAGATCCTCGGAGGATCCTTGAGAAACAACCATGACGACGTGTTTCCCCGTGCAAGAGGTATACACATCGTGCACGTCAAGGGTCCTCCGTTCGAACCTAACGGACCAAATCGAGCCACGACTCCATCTATACATATATATGTATATACCGAGTACATATAGACACAGGCACACACATAGAGGGACAGACACATAAGCAGAAGGTCAGCAGTGGATTATTTGAAGAGCACTAGCGTGTTTGTATATTTCATAACTCGCTCGTGAGGCTCTAAAAGGACCCATGCCAGGGTCCTCCGTTCCTTCGAGGGCGACAAAGGGTGGGTCCAGTGAGAGTTGTTCCCTCTTTCCTCGTTCCGTACCCTCTCGACACGACGAAGGGGGCATAAACAGAGACCCTTAAATTGCTTCCTTTCCGTGAAGGATCTGTTTCTTTTTTTCTCTCTCCCCTCTCTACTCTGTATTTTTCTTCTCTTTTTCTCGCAACGACATAGTAGGTTGTACTACAAGCTTCTTCTTCGAGCATTTAGCGCTCCCCAGAGCTAATTCAATTATACACGACCATGGTGGCGCACTGAAAAAATACACGCAAAGCAAATATATATATATACACACGTGTGTATATATATGTATAGCGTGGTCACCTTTTTTTACTTCTTTCTTTCGAAGGTAAGCGTTGAGGTACGGAAATAACGCGCGAGCGTGTGTAATATCGTGTCAGGAACTTGAGGAACTTGGTGAACCTTGTCTAATAGGTTATAAAACGATTTTCGCGGCGCCTGGCCTCGTCGAGAAACGGTAAAAGCCTGACTTTCATCACTTCGCCGGATAATTCCGTCATTACCGTCTCCGGTGATTGAATACGGTATATATAATCTTTCCCGAGCGGGGCAGTCTCGAAACACCGGCTGCATTTAACGGCCCCCTGGGAATTCACTCTCTTTCATCCTCCAACCGAGCGAATTCCCTCGATTCTCGTCAGGATCGAGCGAGGGACGACGTCCTGATGGCGGAAGCGCGCGAGTTTGTCGCGAAGGAAGCCTTCAACGATCGTTATCTTTTTATTTAGCAATTTTCCTAGTTTCTAATATTTTCAAATTAATTGTCGCCTTCGTTAATTATCGTTAAGTAACAATGCGGTAAATTGAAGCGATCACAAAGTGTGAAGGATTTTGGTGAGTAACTATGCAAAATTTGGCGTAGAATTCGTTCGAGGTGTTTTCACTTGAGAAAATATCATTATGCTGGTTATGATAATTCGAGGCTGGACCGGTGTGTTTGTTTAAAACAAGGATAAATATTTCCTCTGAATCACGTCAAGGTTCGAGGAACTACCGGGTGATTCGTTCGGAACTCGTTTTCAGCTTCGGATTCAATGTTTCTTCAAATCGACCGGATTCTTCAAAAATCTGTGGTGAAAAATGATAAAATTTTATAGATCGCTATCGAAGAGACTTTACTCACCGTCCATCGGAAGGTGAAGTGGAGTTGCAGGGTGCCTGGTTCGCTGAGGGTGAAGGTGTTCTGGCCGAGGGCGTGACTAGATACGTTGCCAAAGCTGCATGAGCCGATGGCGGTTACATTCGACTGATATTCCTTCAGACAAAGCCAGAAGGCCGTCGAACACGGTGTCGTGCACGGTGGTAATCCACCTTTTCCTCCGCCATCGCCTCCCCCGCCGCAACACCTACCGTCCACCAGGGTGCCCCTGTTGTTCGTCAGCGAGAGGATCTGCACCTCGAAGAATCCGCTCGCGTTTGTCGCCTGCAATGCAGAAAAAAACATATTCAATACCATCTTCGAACTTAAATTACATTATCAGAGAAATTTACGATTGAAAAATCCGCCAATTCGTTCCAAGTGAAATTTAGGGATACCGAGACCCAGGGAATTTAGATTAGGTTATTAACATTCTGAAGAAAAATTCTGAAGTCCTGTTTATAAATGCAGAAATGTAGAATTTCTTCCGAAACACTTTTCTACCACGAACCACTTTAAAAATACAGCTTTGTCCATTTGCGCGAGACACCCGTTATACTTACGTGTTTTCGAGACCCCACAGATGTGGCTGAAAAGCTTCGAAAACGTAGAAAATCGAGTGTCTTCGGGTACCAAGCTGTACAGATCAATCACGTAAAACGTATAACCTCGGGGAAGAGAAAGTATACGTAACCTAAATCATCTAAGAAGATGTTATTACAGTTTATAATATTCTACGTTTGGATGGAACATCTATCGATCGATTACTATCCTAGACAATACACCGTTGAAAGGCAGCCCTAGCTAATTCATGACACTTTACATTTTGATCTCTTCGCCTATCGCTTTCACGTCTGACATTTCGACATACTCTTAAACGGCGTATAAAGACCCGTGGAGTCGATGACTGCGTTCACCTTAGACCGTCTCCCTGTTTTTCCACTAGGTTCAACAGGCGAATTTATCGGCTTCGTTACGCAGAGAAAACGATCCGCATTTAAACGGATTTCGTTCGTTCCTTTCTAATGGGCATAATAAAACAGCGGGATTTTCCAGCTGGTCTCGCGAAAACGGAAGTCTCGCGGGCCCCAGGAGGCGAAAGGCCCCTCGAGTCGCCTGTTACGAGCGCAGAGCCAGCTTCGTGGCGATTCGGTGAAAGAAGTCGGACAGTTTCGAAACTTTAACTGTATTTTAGTCATTTTCTGATGGTTCTATACCTTGCTATAATATCACGTGTCTTGGGTTTGTTTTACCTTTCTTTCTGTTCACGAGATATCATTTTGCCATCTTTGTGTCATTTTTTTAAGAATGTAATTGATCTATACTAAATTTTATATTTTTAAATTAACGCAGTTTGCCCTACGTTACCATAATGAATAAAAAGTCAAGAAAAGCGAATACTTTTGTTTTTTAAATGTAGGTGAATTTTTATGTATTGTTGATGTGAGAAAACAAATTTAAAAAAGAGACTATTTATTACGTATAACGAGGAGCATCGAGTAGATGGTATGTACGCTCAATTACCTCTAAAATTTCCAAAACGAATATTGCTCAGAGTAACGCAACAATTACCGAATAAGCTATTCCACGAATAATTCTCCAATCTAATTCCAATCTCACTCGAAAATATCGAATATTGCGTGTTACCTATATACCTGCACACATAATCTATCCATCAAAATTCAGATTACGCTCTACAAACAGAAGTCTGGCTGCTTTCCCATTCACGGTCAAAATTGCACAGGAATCGCGCAACCATCGCGTTGCGATGCCGCAACCGCATCGTGGCGCGGATTTATCGCCTCTCGCTTTTGCCCACGTACGAGCCCGATTAACAATAAAAGCGAGAAACACGCGGCACGAAATCGTCTCGTTTCGACTCGAGTCTTCCTTTCGTTACCCGTTACGAAACGCTCTCTACGTACGCTTCACCTACATCTATTGGTTTCCAGTGCATTTACTTGCATCGAGCACGTGCATTAAACGTGTGCACACCTTTACGAATATGTACAGGGTGATTCTAGAAATTGGGCCAGGTTATAACTCTGTTCCAAGTCACGAATGAAATTTTGCAGTGTTCAACAAGCAACTTGTGACGCGATTTTTTCGCAAGAGCAACAGTACTTTGTTTCAACACTTTGCATTTTGACCACTTCCGCAGTGAAACCAAAACCTAACCTAACCTAACCTAACCTAACCTAACCTAACCTAACCAAAAGGTTCGAAAACCAAAAGTTTTCTTTGAAAAGAAGAAATGACAAATATCTTCACTTCTTTCGTTAACTTGCGTTCAGTAATGACTGTAACGACTGAAACGCAGTAGTGACTGTTTAGGTTATGTTAAGTATAACCCAGAAATCACTTCGCTACAATAAATTTCGAAAATCGAAAGCAAGAATTTAAAAAAATTTAACAAGAGATATCCAAACGTTACTGTAACCAGTGTACAACCTGACCCAGTTGCTAGAATCACCCTGTATAAGCACACGAATAAGTCGAAGTGCACGTATACCAGCAGCGAGCGAGCGAGCATGCATCGACGATGCCTGCGGGTCTGTGTAATTACCGTAAGAGTAAGATCGAAGGTAGAAAGCGCAGAGGATCGTCTGCTGGCCTTTGCTTTCCACGACGCGCTTCCTACTACGTTATATAACGCCACCCCGCGAGTGACATTTTCGCTGTAAGGCCGAGAGCTTCTGTGGTTTCGTGCGATCCACGCGAGCACACCAGACCAGAATCACGACAGGATGAATCCCGAGGAAATTGAAGAGTAAATCATGGATAATGTCCGGTTGCGGTGCACGGGAAATGGAGAGGAGCCATCAAGGTACCTACGAGAGCGCGCGCGCGCACCATAGAGCGACAATGCAAGGATTCTTCGTTAAAACGTGTCCTCGCATTATCGTTACCATGAGTACACGTACACCACTGTGGTCCAATGATGAATACTACTTCTTGGAATTTCTTCGATTGTTTCCAACGTATACCTACTGGGTGTCTTGATAAATTTGTTAGGTTAGGTTCAGGTGAATTTATGTGTGAAAGTTGCGCAACTGTGAAAACGGAATGTTTCAAGAGAGAAGAACACCACTTTGCTAATTAATGTTAAATCGCATTTGCACTGACTTTATTCAACCACTATGTAACACACTATACACTTACGCAACTTGACCATTACGTTGACGGGAAACAAAGAAAATCATGCGTTCAGATCGAATTTGCAAAAATTGCAGTTTCGTAAGTTCTAGCATTGGAACGACGATGCGAGGATTTATTAGAGAGTCAAGAGAAATTGAAGATACGTTGTCTGTTAGCTACAAGTTACATAATGCTCGTAGGTTTTACGGCTTTGTAATTATTGTTCGCACGATTTTACGAAGCACCAAGTTGTAACGAGCGTTTCAAAGTTTCTTCTACGGTGATAAAAACTTCTGTTCTTTGATATACCAAGTTTTAGCGTATGGATACATACATATCTGCTCGTAAGTTCAGGACACCCGGTATGTTCCTACAGAAAGTACCTATTACATGATTTAAATTACATTTCCTCGCCACACGTAGCGCCACATACCAGCGAAAATTGATGTACCTACTCGTTATATCACGATACTCCGTGCTGTATCATTTTTTTCGATCTCGATCATTTTTCCTTCACACTCATTAAGCGTCTTAATACTGACGAATCGAGCGCTATTAAGGTTAATAGAGACCCTCTCGATCCTTAAACTACCACCTCTCACTTGTTTCATCTCGCCAAACAACAACTGGACTTTCGAGACACCCGGTACGTGAGCCAGCGGGGCTCACGGGGCCCCGGCTAGATCCGGCTGCTTAAACGTCGATAATACGCCAGTGATGACCGTTAACGTGGCTACGTCTTTCTCCAAGCCGAGGAATATATCAATCCGTGGATGGGAAAAAGCCGAGGGTTGGTTTCGTGGCCGTAAAACGTTTCAAGTCCTCTCTCTCTCTCTCTGATCGTCCGACGTGGTCGTTTACGACGACTGTCCCTTCGCGTAGCCAATGTTTGAGCAACGCATGGTGTAACGACCGTCTCTCCTCTCCGTTCGTCCGTTTTATTAGCCGTGCATACTTATTCTGGAGGCTCTGGCCGGTAACCCGTTGCCTCCGAAAGCAGCTGAAAACCATGAAGTGTACCTCTATGGGGAGCGCGTTTGCGCGGGCAAAGTTTGCACAGTCCGCTCACGTGCCGACGTGAAATTGCCCGGAGATGGCTTTCAGCCCGCCGACACGCGGAAGAACCGCACGGCCTTTTTCAAAACTGGCATCGGCCAGCGTGTCCCGCGCGTTCAATGATACGCCGGGATGGGTATCGTTGGAAAACGAGCCAGGAATTTTTAACAGCCGATCGACGCTCGCCTCGCTCGCTTGGACCCCTTTCTCACGCGGTCGAACCGGTGAACTATGCGGCGGCTCCCTGCGTGATCTGGATTTCTTATGACGGATTAATTGGGACGATTGGACGTTGCCGCGGGGAGCTTCTTTCGGAACGCGTTCCGTCATCTTGTCAGGGAGAGGTTTCTTTTCACGTTCGGTAAATTCAATCTTGTCTGGACTTTCTGCGTCAGGGATTTTTTCGTGGTTTTGTTGTTGGTTGTGTGCGGAGGTGGTTGCAAGAGTGATTTAGGTAAGAAAGTTTCAGGAGGTTGAATTTTGGACGATCGATCTTTTTATTCAAGTGTTTTGTGAAATATTTTGTTACACAGTGAACAAATGTTCGCGACTTAACCTCTTAGGCACTGAGCACCACTATAGTGGCTTTCGCGGATATCATCTTTCTGTACGGCGCACCACTATAGTGGCTTACGCGGATGTATTTTTCTGTACGACGCCTTTGTGTTGTACCGTGTTTTAAGATGTACCATACTGAAATGTACTATTAATTATTAGAATAAATTGTTAAAGTTAAAATGCGCGTTAAAATCATATCTTAATTTAAAAAAATTTTTTAAATAAATATTTTTTGTAAATACTAATGAAAAATTATAATTTAATCATCAAACACTTCATTCCAATGTACTCGTGTAAAGAACAGCATTATCCGTCACACATTGCAGTGCCGTATCATTTACACGTAATTCGCGTTGAACTCTGCCGTACCGAGAAACAGCCCCGCGTAAAGTTCCGCCGTGCCTAAGAGGTTAGGCTACTTTCATGGAGGCTTTTTTAGAATTTCGTCGTTTAGTTTCGTTTAGAATTTCCATATTTTCGTGATATCAAAATATATCTAAGCGCATTAAGGTGAGAATTTTATTCGACATTCGATACACTGAATTTTGTTCAAT